CTACAGGTTCTTAGATGTTCCTCAAGACTGCTACTGAATCTCTTCCCACACTCTGAGCATTCAAAAGGCTTCTACCCTGTGTGGATTCTGAGATGGGTTTGAAGAGTGCTACTGCGACTGAATCTCTTCCCACACTCTGAGCATTCAAAAGGCTTCTCCCCTGTGTGGGTTCTTAGATGGGTTTGAAGAGTGCCACTGCGACTGAATCCTTTCCCACATTCTGAGCATTCAAAAGGTTTCTCCCCTGTATGGGTTCTTAGATGGGTTTGAAGATGGCCAGTACGACTGAATCTCTTCCCACACAGTGAACATTCAAAAGGTTTCTCTCCTGTGTGGGTTCTTAGATGAGTTTGAAGAGTGGCACTGAAACCAAATCTCCTCCCACACAGTAAGCATTCAAAAGGCTTCTCCCCTGTGTGGGTTCTTTGATGTTCTTGAAGAGTGCTACTGCGACTGAATCTCTTCCCACACACTGAACATTCAAAAGGCTTCTCCCCTGTGTGGGTTCTTAGATGAGATTGAAGAGCGGCACTGAAACTGAATCTCTTCCCACACTCTGAACATTCAAAAGGCTTCTCCCCTGTGTGGGTTCTTTGATGTTCTTGAAGAGTGCTACTGCGACTGAATCCCTTGCCACACTCTGAGCATTTAAAAGGCTTCTCCCCTGTGTGGGTTCTAAGATGGGTTTGAAGATTGCCACTGCAACTGAATCTCTTCCCACACTCTGAGCAGTCAAAAGGCTTTTCCCCCGTGTGGGTTCTTCGATGGTTTTGAAGATTGGCACTGCGATTGAATCTCTTCCCACACTCTGAGCATTCAAAAGGCTTCTCGCCTGTGTGCGTTCTTAGATGTCTTTGAAGATGGCCACTGCGACTGAATCTCTTCCCACATTCTGAGCATTCAAAAGGCTTCTCCCCTGTGTGGGTTCTTAGATGGGTTTGAAGACTGCCACTACGACTGAATCTCTTCCCACACTCTGAGCATTCAAAAGGCTTCTCCCCTGTGTGGGTTCTTAGATGGGTTTTAAGAGTGCCACTGCGACTGAATCTCTTCCCACATTCTGAGCATTCAAAAGGTTTCTCCCCTGTGTGGGTTCTTAGGTGGGTTTGAAGATGGCCAGTACGACTGAATCTCTTCCCACATTCTGAGCATTCAAAAGGCTTCTCTCCTGTTTGATTTCTTAAGTCAGTTTGAAGGAGGCCCTTTTGACTGAATTCCTTTTCACATTCTGAGCATTCAAAAGGCTTCTCCCCTCTGTGGGTTCTTAGATGGGTTTCAAGGGGGCCCCTTTGACTGAATCTCTTCCCACACTCTGAGCATTTAAAAGGCTTCTCCCCACTGTGGATTCGTTGGTGTACAAGGAGCTGTGATCTGTATTTGAAGTAGTTTCCACACCAAAAGCATTTACATGCATTCATTATACTGTGCTTTGGAAAACATTTATTACCTTTTTCTCCCACAGAGAGCTTCATTCTACTCCCTGAGCAAATAAATAGCTTCCCTCCTGTATGAATCATTTGGTGCTGAAGAAGGTCTAATTTCTTTGAGAATCTCTTGTCACAGTCTGAGCAGCTATACGGTTTCTTTCCTCTATGTGTTCTTTGAAGTCGAAGGAGCTCTGCTCTGCAAATCATGGTCTTTCCACACTCCAGCCAGTGATGGGTCTTCTTTCCACTGTGCATTCCTAAATGGACATTATACTGGGATTTATTCGTGAAGTTCATTCCACATGCCAAGCACTTGCATGTTTCCTTCACCGTGTGAATTACTTCTCGGAAATCCTGCCGTTGGCAAGGAATGGATTTACCCCTCTTATGAATGATGTGGCTTCCTTTCTGCCTCTTAGATCCAGCTTGGTTTCTGAAGTTTCCTCTCAAGTCTTCATTCCTGACGTCATCTGTCGATAGAGGATGCAGTTCCTCATCCTCCTCATTCCTCTGATCATCCCCTGCTGGAATAAGGAAAGAGATCCTGTTAGAATCCATGCAAGGAACTCTGATCTGCACCTGAATTTCCAAATATTACAGTGGCTTCTTCCTGCTGTATGCTGAAGTCTACAATAACCCACTGGCCCCACTGGTGGACCTCCTGATGGCACCTGGTATTTTTGGCCACTGTGTGACAGAATGTTGGACTGGATGGGCCTTTGGCGTGATCCAACATTGGCGTCTCTTATGTTCTTAACATACTCTTTAAAAGTACATGAAGCCTTCTATATGAGACATGCTTGGTTTAAATTCTGACTGTTTCTATGGTTCCCCAGGTGTGTCACTTTTTAATGTGAAGTAAGGGCTCTTTTTTGACTGAAGCACTTTCCACACGGCAAGCAATTTTACCGTTTCTCACCTAAGGGACTTTCTGCTTGCAAAATGACGTTCATTCTCTGACTGAAGGTCTTTGCCAAGGCCACGCTTTTATTATCCATGCAGTGGATTCTCTGGTTAGGATCGGGCCTTTGTCCCTTCTCTTTTTGATTGACCCTTCTTCTTGTACTTTAATTTCACGGAAACCCCCTCCTCAGTAAGGAATGGGCTTATCCCTCCTCTTACCTGCTTGGCTTCCCTCCTGCTTCTGTGGTCCAGCTCCATTTCCGAAGTGTCCTTCAGCATCTTCATTCTTGACTTTTTCCAAAGAGAACCCTTGGAATTCCCCAGCTGTCTCCTCTGCATCTGCTCCTGAAATAAAGAAAGAGTTTCGATTAGTGCCTATGCGAGAAGCCAAGGCACCAGTCAGGCACTGCTCAGGAATGGGGGTGGATTTCTGTTATCCGATCATCTTTCCTCCTAAACTGAGATGCTGGTCACACCGTATCCCTGCCAGGCCCTCCTGCAGAGCTGTTTTTATATTCTCTCTATCCTTCCCCTCCCCAAATTTCCCACATGTATCTTAAGAGGTAAAGTGGCAAAATATTGTTCCCCCCCCCAATTCGAAATTGACTCACCATGTTTTTTTTACTTTTGATTCTCTGCACTTGATGATTAGCTACAAGAGGTTGCCAAGATATCCAGTTCACTGAGAGTTTCTTCCAGTTGTCAACAGAGCCAAGAGGAGCTGTTTTTTAGCCTCCGCAAAATACATGCTTTCCAGGGGGAGGAGAGAAGCCGGGAGCTCACAAAGCGAACCCCACAGCTCATAGAGGGCCCCCGTGGTTTTTGGAAAAGAAGCCATTTGGGGGGGGGGGGTAGTGACAGGTGAGAAAACCAGCCATGCAGTGTAGGGCCACCTTTCTCAAGGTCAGAGCCATGTTTTTACACTTTCTGAGCCATCCTCTGCACCTTAGCTGGGCCTCTCTCTTGTCTGAAGCACAGCCACGTCTGAATCATCGAGGCAGTTCTGCCTTTCCTAGAAGCACAGAGCCAGCCAATCTCTCCAGAAAGAAGTATATTTTATTGTCAGCTAGAGAGAGCCAGAAGACTGATTATCAGGCCTCCGGGTCATCAACTCCTTACAGTAGAGTAAGGCCCTCTGGAAGCCCATCCCAGAGGAACACGCAGTGTCCAAAAAGTCCTGATTAGACTGAAGAAGAGTCTGTCCTGTTCCATCCTCCCAAAGCACCTGACGGACTAAGTGAACACACAGCAAGCATGCAGTTATTCAAGTGTTCAGCATGACCAGGGGGATGACATCTAAATGTGGGGACGTTAGTCTGGCAGACCCTTAGAGCAGCAGAGGGTTGGCATTGCTGTCAACCCTCTTCCCTGGGGACCCCCGGCCTTGGGGGAACTTGGGCATCGGGGCATGCTGAGTGGACAGGTATTCCTGGCTTTTCTCTCTGTGTTTGTACTTTTTTTTGGCAGATGGTTTTCTGACTCAATTGGCTGGAAGGGACTTAGCCTTTGGGAAGGAGTTGGTCGCTTGCCTCTTGGGCAGGTGGCTATAGTGCTTTCTCTATCCTGTTCTGGCTCAAACAAACTGTGCCTCAACTGAGAACCTGACTCTGTCTTTACTGGGCTGACAGTTTCAGTGGGAATTTCTTCAGTAACACAAGATCCTGCTCTCTTGGGGTGAGGACTGATTCTCATCACCACAACAGAAGGTGCTCTGTAATTTGGCATAAGCCTCTTGTCCTTGGGTGGCAGAGTTAACTGGTGGAACTACCCACTGCAGGCCACCCTTGAAAGGTAGAACAGCTCCAAAGAAAGCAATCAAACCCATTTCCACGTAATAGTAAGGCCTGAAAAAATCCAGGGGACCGCTGTAGGAATGGCTTGGGTGATGCCCACCACACTGGCCATGCTGAACCATCATGTTCACTGCCACCCCAACTCCTTGAGCCCCCCAGCAAGGGTGGGGGGTAGCCAGGCAGTCCTCACAACCACATGTTGCTTTTCAATATTTTGATTCATGCATCATCCCAGTGGCAGCAATCCAGACCTTGGGCACCTACGAAAGGTCCTTACCCAGAGAGGCCACACTCCCGTAGTTCTCCAGCATGACGTCTCTGTAGAGAGCTCTTTGGCCCGGAGCCAGCAAGGCCCACTCCGCCTCAGTGAAATACACAGCCACCTCCTCAAAGGAAAAGGGAGACTGAAAGGAAAAGCAGATTCCCTCGTCAGAGATCAGTCCAGGCAGAGACTACACTCTCTCGATGGGAGCATTCTGGGAGGGTGCAAGATATAGAGTTGGGCATGCGTGAGGAGAGTGCGGTTCAGAGCCTGTCTCTCCTTGGTCAGCAGGACCAAAAGCCTCCTTGAGAAAGGAGGGGGGACCTGACTATCCCCCAGTCTTCCCCCCCTACCTGGACCAGCGGTGAAGCAGCTGTTTCCACTCCTCTGAAAAGACGACAGGTTGACAACATCTCTTCACTGCCTACAAGGGAGGGAAAATGGGAAGGATAAATGTTAATCACAAGTTCCTATTTTGTTTGCTTCTTTCAATTCTGCTTCACCCATTTCTCAGGGTTGTGACACCTTGTCTTCTTTACACTCAAGAATATTTGTAATGACTTTTAGGAAGCAGCAGGTGCCCATGAGCCTCAGCATAAATGCTGCCAACACTTTTGTGAGACTTGAAATGTGTCCTGTGCACCCTGGAGCTCCAAAGGCTGCAGCATCTTTGTTGGACCAGACCAAAAGTGGCCATCACCACATCCTATGGAACGCTGTCCCAGAACTCCATTCTATGTAGTCTGCAAAAGTATTCCCCTTTTCTCCTGTCTTGAACCTTATGCCCAACAACTTGACTAGGTGCCCTAATCCCATCTAGGCAGAAGGCACCCTTACCACTTGACAGGGCATCTCGGGCATCCTCCTGGGCCTGTGCCCTCTGACTTTCCTCTGACGGAGCTCCTTCTGCCTCAGAGAGCTTTGCTTCCATCTTCACGGATCGTCCCCACATCTGAAACAACAGGAAGGGGGGGCGGTAAGAGAAAGAATTGAGATATCTAGCGGTAGAAATATCTAAGAAAAGATGGGAACAGTACACTGAGGAATTATACTATAGAGATGAAAGGACAACAGATTCCTTTCCAGAAGAATCTTTTGAAGAAGAACTAACAGTTTTAGAAAGTAAAGGGAAAACTGCACTGAGAGCAATTGGGAGAATCAGATCACCAGGGGTAGATTAGATATCAATAGAACTATTCCAAGGTACAGAAAAGTCTTTCAAAATCTTAACAAGAATATGCTAACAGAGATGGAAAACACAATGGCCCACAGTCTGGAAACACTCACTTTACATGGCTAATCTGACAAAAATCTGGCGCAAATCTCGGGCTCCAAAATCAGGAAAAAGAAACTTGTATTTGATTTAATGGAAACACTGCTCATTTCACGCCTTGTTTTGTACTTCAGACACAAGAAATGTCTGATTATGCCCTTGTCTTACTGTGCCTAATAAACTTTACTCTTTGGAAAGAAAGTTGTTGGGACCTGATTGCTTGGGACTCTGACAATGGCTGGTTTTAAAAGAAACGAGTCTGCCACAACAACTGTTTGCATTGATGCGCAACCTGTACTCTGAACAAGAGGCCAGTGTTAGGACAGAAGACGGAGAAACAGAATGGTTTCCAAACTGGAAAAAGTATCAGACGACAATGTATTTTATTTCCCTTTCTCTTCAATCTGTATGCAGAACATATCATACAGAAAGGTGGATTCGATTTAGATGAAGGAGGAGCGACATATTGGCAGAAAAAACAGTAACTATTTGAGATATGCAGTTGACACCGCATTACTGGCAGAGAATAGTGAAGTCTTCAAACAACTACCGATGTAGGTTAAAGCAGGAAGCGCCAAAGCGGGATTACATCTGAACATCAAGAAGACAAAAGACTGGAATTCCAGAAATTTAGGGTTAATGATGAAGAACTTGAAATTGCTCAAGACTTTCTGTTCCCTGGCTCCATCATCAACCACAAGGGAGACAACAAGCAAATCAGGAGTCTGAGGCTGGGAAGGGCAGCCCAGAAGGAGCTAGAAAAGATTCTCTAGTGTAAGGTGACCAAGATCCATGCCACAGTAGTTCTCATTCCTATACCTGGGGGGGAAGGAGTAGGAGAAGAAGAACTGGATTTATATCCTGCCCTTTACTTGGAGTCTGAGAGCAGCTTACAATCTCCTTTCCTTCCTCTCCCCACAACAGTGTCCGGTCCCCCACAGCTATTAATCCAATACACGTTTAGGCAAAGTAGTATTTTATTAAAGCTATGATAGAGCAGGAACAAGTTCACTGTCCAGAATGCCTGGGCCAGAGTGGGCAAGGAATAATGTAAGACATTGAAACAGAGTAATAACCAATAATCTCCATTCCCGCCAAGCGGGCAGACTCCAGGTTACGCGCTCAAAAGCCTGAGAAGCAACGTTCCTTAAAACCTAAACAATTACAGCTTCACACGGTGCAGTTCATTATACATTTGGCAAAGCAGCTCCCCCACACACCTGTTAACCTTGCAGATAAGCGTTGCCTAGCATTTACAGACAGGAATGCATGAGACAAGATCATACACAGGGAAGAAAGGGCATGCGCAGATGCCAGGGGAGTGAGGGGGGGTAACCAACTGCCTCCCAGTCTTCTATGGCAGCTAGCTGACAAACAGACACCCCGTGAGGTAGATGGGGCTGAGAGAGCTCTGAGAAAACTGCTCTTGAGAGAACAGCCACTGACCCAAGGTCACCCAATGGCTGCATGTCGAGGTGTGGGGAATCAAACCTGGTTCTCTAGATTAGAGTCCGCCACTCTTAACCACTACACCAAATGGGCTCCTAGTTGTGGTATTGGAGGAGAGTTTTTATTGATACTGTGTACCACCAAAAAGTCAAATCAGGATGGAAAAGAAGACCAAACATGGGATAGATTGACTCAATCAAGGAAGCCACAGTCCTCAGTTTATAAGATTTGAGGAAGGCTCTTAACAAAAGGACATTCTGGACGACATTAATTCATAAGGTTGCTACAAGTTGGAAGCAGAAATATCTGACAGGAAGCCTTAGGATAAGGTCACTGCTTGAACTGAGTGCATGAAAACCCCTCACCTGCTCTGCCTGCCTCTTCTCCTCTGCCTGACTCAGGAGGAAACCTTCGGCCAGGGCCACCGCCTGGGAACTGGTCTCTGGCCCACATCCACTGACCCAGCATTGCATTTCCTGGGGCAGGACGGACAGGAACTGCTCCAGGATCACCAGGTCCAGGATCTGCTTCTTGGTGTTCCTCTCTGGCTGCAGCCAGTGGTTGCAAAGTCCATGGAGCCGGCTGCAAACCTCTCGGGGCCCATCAGCCTCATGGTAACAGAACTGCCGGAAGCATCGGCTGCGTATACCTGTGGTCATAGTGTCCTGAGCCAAGATCTCTGGCACAGCTCTTTCCCAAAATTCAGTAGCACTCCCTGCTGGGATGGGATGGGGAGCTTTCCTCGATCTCTTGCCAATTCCAAGGCCTTCTGGATCGTCCTCTTCCATTTCCTTCTCCTTTCTCTTGGATTGCCTCTGACTGTGGAAAGACACCCTTATTCACTTGCCTATGAAGAAGGAAAGATATCAAAAAGGCAGAAAGAAACCAAAAGAGAAATGAGTTATATCAGTGACCCTGTTCAGACAGACCTAAGTGGATCAGAAGGAGCGTCCATGCTGTAGTTTGCGGATCAGGATTAACGTCATTGCCTTATATTAAGTATCAAGCTTTTTAAATTATGTTGTCGAAGGCTTTCATGGTCGGAGTTCATTAGCTGCTGTAGATTGTCTGGGTTGTCTGGCCGTGGTCTTGGCATTGTAGCTCCTGACATTTCGCCAGTAGCTGTGACTGGCATCCTCAGAGGTAAAACGCAGAAAGATGGAGTGCTCTCTGTATCAAGGTGAGAAGAAGAATTTTTTTTTTTTACATTATGCTTGTTTGGGTCCTTCAGGAAAGAAAAACATCTCTTTCAGTCCCTTTAAAAATCTGCTGTGGATGTTATGAGCTTGGCCTCTGGTACCTGGGGAGCAGTCTGTCTAGTGGGTGCATCTCAAGGTAAACTGGAGCCCAGCACAAAGCGACTGGGAAGGGCTTAACTACTGCAGAGAGCTCCTCCATAGGCTGGAAGGGCTGGGCAAGAGCTCTGCCCAAGCAGCCAGCCCCTCCAAAGAAAGGGGCAGAGGGGCCTCTCCAGATCAGGGCACAGGGGCTGCTGGGGCAAACAGGAGCCGGAGGCAGTGATGCGGCAGAGGTCCTCAACTGCTTCCCGGCTGCTGTGGCGAAATGGCTGAGTGAACAGGTTGAAACTGAACTGTCACAGTGACATGGAGACTGGACTAGATCAATGCCCTATACGTTACAAAAGACCAATCCAGAAACTCCAGCTGGTGCAGAACGGCAGGACTCAGCCATTATCTTCAGCTAGACGAATTACTCCCCTTCTGCAGTCCCTCCACTGGCTGGCCTGGACAGGGGCCTTCTCCGTTATTGCCCCCAGGAATTGTCTGCCTGAGGGGGTCAGGAAGGCACCCACTCGCCTGGCTTTCCAGAGCAAAACTGAATTATCCAAGAGGGCTTTTCTAAGCAAGCAATAGGGTAGCACTTGAGAAAAGGCTTCACGAGGTTACGTGGGTACATCTTTAGGACACGGGGGTCTGACTGACTGCGTTTAGTTTGCTGTAAGCCGGATCCCTCTATGCCACCTTACCATAGATGCTTTCCCTCAAAACTGCCTCTCAGATTTCTGGTCAGTTCTCCGACCCAAATTCTATTGCACAGTTTATTGAATGTATTGATTGTAGGGCGTCCCACTAAAGGACTAACTATCATTAGTGTAAATAAATTACGTAACTGCAGATGGGGGGAGCACCGCCCCAAAGGAGAGGTATTTGGGCAGCCCCCTCGGCACGAAGGAACCTTCCCCTGGAATCCCGCCTGGGGCTTCTTCCCGGGCCTCCCTCCGACCTCCCCGGAGGAAGATTTATTCCGAGTTCCAAATTTCAGATCCCGCCTTTCAGACCCTGCCGGGGGCCCCATCCGGGGGCTAACGAAGGGAAACGTCCGACAGAGAAACCACCTGTTAGAAAGGACTGATTCCTCCCCCGCCGCCGCCGCACGAGAGCGGACCGTCTTTCTTCCCAGATGGTGACTTACTCGAGAGGAGACCTTCCCGGGATCCGGCTCCCGGGCTCTTCTTCGCCGCCGCGGCCCATCCGAAGCCCCCCCCCCTCCCCTCTCCCCATTCAGAAGCAGACAGTTCCGCCCCCC